ACCAACATGTGCAATGTCCAATCCTTGACCATTTCCAACCCGGAGTTGATCAACACCATGGTAGTCATTAGCAATGTGGAGTGAGGCGAGGTCAAGTGTGACATGATAGTTGGTTCCAGAGTCCACTATCCAAGGAAATGATTGTTTTGGTTGCTGGATATAAGGAGGTCAGATATGAGATGACTGGATAAAATTAGCTTGGGCTCCATAAATGGGATGAGGTTCATACCTACGTCTACAGCGGTCTGCCGTATGATTTCGAAGGTTACAAATTTGACAAGGTCCCCGATATCGTCTTAGGTTGCGATTGTTGGTGGTGTTTGATGAAGTTGGTGATTGCGTGGTGTTGATTTGTTGTTGAGTGGGTGTTCGCTGAGCAAGATTGGCTATGGGTGATTCTTGGGCACTTTTTAAAAGAATTTCATGGGCTAATAGATGGCTATGAAGTTCGTTAAATGACACAGGTTTAGGTCTAAGGTTTAATGCTGTAATGATGTTGTGGTATTCGCTTCCAATATTTCGATAAACAATGGCATTGAATTCAAATGTGGTCATGGTACGACCTGCAGCAGCTAATTCATTAGCAAGGGATTTAGCACGTTGGAGATATTGAGATACAGTTAAGTCATTCTTCTTGAGTTCTTGTAATTCAATATTCAGTTGAAGCTGTCGATTATGAGAGATTGAGCCAAATGTACTGGCTAGGGCTGACCAGACTTCTTGGGAAGATGTCATGCCAATAATATATGGGAATACCTCCTCGGATAGGGAGGATAGCAGCCAACAAAGAAGCATCTGGTCCTTTTGGAACCAGGTTTGATATGCAGGATTTAGAATAGTTTCAGATGGTTTACTAGAGTCAGCTATGATGGTAGGGGGTTTTGGAGTAGAGCCATCAACAAAACCCATTAAATTTTGGTAATTTAGAAGAGGTAGAAATTGAGTTTTCCAGGCAAGATAATTCTTGCTTGTGAGCTTGATTGAAAAGGCATGATGTGAGGTAGTAGTGGCCGAAATTGGAGTTTGAATGTTTGAAGCCATGTGGGTTGGTTGCTCTGATACCATGAAGAAAGAGCAAAATTGTATATTCTCTTAGGCATGAATAGCCAAATATAAATACATGTGATTTACAAAAGGTAATGATGGAAACCATAAAATATAACATGTTTGATTTAGCAAAAAGGTAATGATGGAAAACCATAAAATAATAACAACCATAAAGCTTACGACACTATGATGGGTGCATCTATCTGACTAAGGAGTAAGGGATATGGCAACTATACAAAGAGATAATCATGCGTGCCAACAATAGATGGGTGCATCTATCATGACTAGGAGTAAGGGAATATGGCAACTATACAAAGAAGATAATCATTGCCAACAATAAAGCTACGACACTATGATGGGTGCATCTAAGTAAGGGAATAGGACAACTATACAAAGAATATAATAGTTATACAAAGATAGCTCTTTACATATAGAAATCATTCTCTCGATATTTAGTAATTTTGTTATAGTGTTAAGTATTAAAAAAAAGTGTTATTGGCCATTTTATGCGTGGAAATTCTCTTTTTTATTAGTAACTTGGACATAAGTAGAAATATATACATATAAATGCTAGATTTTGTTACATTCAATGATTATATATTATAATTTTATATGAATTTTCAAATTTTTTTTATAATTTTTATATTGGCCACATGCAATTAGAAATCTTGCTGGAAACTTATTAGTGGTGAAAAAGCGGAAAGAGTGATCAAGAAGTTAAATTTTCCATTCTCTCACAGGGTGAAGGCAACTGTTTTTTTCTGGGGGCATATAGGTTTTGTGGAAGGATGAATGGACAGTGCGGTTTTGGAAAACCGTCACCAATTTATTTATTGTTGCCTCTTTGAGAATGGGTCTTTCCGCATGTTCCTCTCAGCTATTTATGGGAGCCCAGTGGAGAGTACTTACAAGTGTTTATGTGATCAGTTGCAACGAATCAACAATGGTATTTCTGATTCCGAGCCATGGATTTTAGTTGGAGATTTTAATTCAATTGTCACTAGTGATGAGTGGCAAGGGGGTGCTCATCACAGGACTGGTATTTGTCCTAGCTTCGTTTCCTAGTTCACTGGATCTAATCTCATTGATCTTGGGTTAAAAGGGATAAATTTCACTTGGCAAAGGGGCACTCTTTCTGAAAGGCTCGATCGAGCGCTTTGCAATCCCGCTTGGAGGCTGCGATTCCTGAAGCTGTTGTTTTCCATCTACCTAAACTTCAGTAGGATCATCAGCCTCTCCTGATCAAGCTTTGTAGTCTTATTGCTCCTCCGACTGCTGGCAGACCTTTTAGATTTAGATTTCAAGATGCATGGTTAACGCATCCAGATTTTTCAGACTTTGTCAAAACCGCTTGGTCTCACACAGCTGACGTTAGCTCTACGATAACATCCTTTACGCAGCAGCTCAAAGAGTGGAATTCCTTTATTTTTGGAGATGTTTTTAAGCGGAAACGAAATCTCCTTGCCCGTATTGCTAGTACCCAGCGGGCTCTTGAAACTCGCCCAACACAGAATTTACATGATCTTGATATGCGGCTACTAGTGGAGCTAGATCAGGTTTTATACCAAGCAAAGTTAATTTGGCTTTAGAAATCGATAGTTGACTGGATTCAGTGTGGAGATAGAAACACTGCATATTTTCACTTAAAAACTATGAAAGGGCGGAAATTCAATTGAATTGAAATGCTTAAGGATGGTAATGGGGATTGGATCGATGATGGAGTGATGTTAAAACAAATGGCTCGAAATTTCTTTGTAGGCCTATTTAAAGAGGAATGTCTGATTTCTCCTATTTCCCCATATCTGGTATGTTCATGTCTTTTCATGAAGCAGGTTTTGCAAAGTTTGTTGCTTTAGATTTTTGATGATGAAGAGAAAGGGGCTCTTTTCGACATGGAGTCATGGAAGGCTCCTAGGGTGAACGGTCTCCACATGGGATTTTATTAGAAAAACTGGCGTGTGGTTGCTCCTTCAGTCTATGGGGAGATTCGCCAAATCTTTTTGTCTTGTACCATAGATGCAGCTTTAAATGAGACTATTTTGGTTCTCATTTCTAAGATAAGTAACCCCACAACTATTGCCCAATTTAGGCCCATTAGTCTTTGTTACATGATGTATAAATTGGTTACTAAAATTATTGTGAATAGAATTAAGCCTATATTTCCCAGAGTCATAGGACCTACTCAAACTAGCTACATTCAAGGGCGGAAAATTATGGATAATATTATAATTGCCCCGGAGATTATTCATTCTATGCGGAAAAGGAAGGGATGGAAGGGATTCATGGCTATTAAAGTAGACCTCGAGATAGCCTGTGATAGAATTGGTTGGGATTTTTTGGCTGACTTGCTTATTGATTTGGGGTTTTCGATCCTGCTGACTAAACTCATTATGTCTTGTGTTTCTACTATTTCAGGCTGATTCTTTAGAATGGAGAATTAACGGAGAAGTTCTTTCCTTCCGGTGGAGTCAGACAAAAAGATCCTTTATCTTCATATCCCTTTGTTATTTGCATGGAAAGGCTTGCTCATGCCATTAATTTGGCCGTCCACCAAGGAGTATGGAAGCCAATTTTCTTGAAAAGGAATGAACCTTCTATCACACATTCATTTTTGCGGATGATTTTATTTTTATTTGTAGAGGCTGATACCTATCAAGTGAATGCTATTAATGGAATTCTTACTAATTTTTGTGCTTGCTCCGGTCAAAAAATTAATGTAAACAAAATCACAGTCTACTATTCTAAGAATGTCCCATTGGCTTAAAGACATATTTTGAATAATCGTCTGGGTTTTAAGGAGACTGCAAATTTTGTTAAGTATTTAGGTATGCCCATGTTGCATGGAAGGGTAACAAAAAATACTTACCAACACATTTTGGATTCAGTCACTACTCGACTTGCAAATTGGAAGGCATCTCAGATTTCCCTTGTTGGAAGAATAACACTTACACAGTCGGTGTTGGCTGCCATTCCGATCTATTCGATGCAGACTATGAAACTTCCAGCTGGGTTATGGCAGGAGATTGAGAAAAATTATTACAAATTTATTTGGGGTGCAACTGATGACAATCGGAAGCTGGCTTTAGTTCCATAGGATAAAGTGGAATCTCCAAAGCAGGTTTGAGGGCTTGGATTTCAGTGCTTATCTGAGTTAAATGGAATATTTTTGTTAAAGTTATACTCGGGCTTGATCCAGGATAAGGAGGCTCTTTGGGTTCAAGTTATTCGCTCGAAATATAAGCTTGGAGATGAGCTCATACCTCAAGGTTTAATAATGGAAAACACAGAAATAAGACAAAGTTTCTTTATAAACAAAGGGAATACTGAAAGTGAAAGAAAAGAAATATTGATGTAAAGGTGATTTTTCATTCATAAGAATCCTTTACATTTAATACTGAAAGTGAAAGAAAAGAATATTGATGTAAAAGGTGTTTTTCATTCATTCATAAGAATCCTTTACATTTATAATGATGAACTGAACTGAAAATAGAAATTGACGCAATCACGACGCCACAATAGCAGCAACTGAAGTAGTGCTTGATAGCACGAAAAAAAAAAACTGCAGATTCCTAAAGACTCTACCTAAAACTTTTAGGAAAATAAATAAATAAAAGACACATGACAAGCACGTGAGTTTGAAGTAACAGAAGCAAAAAACTAATACTCCTCCTTGCTTTTGTTACTGCAAACTCCAATTTTCTGTCGTAGAAGCTCAAACTTGTTAACTGGAAGTGGTTTTGTGAACAGGTCTGCTATTTGATCTTTAGTTTTGCAGTAAACCAGAGTTGCTCCTCCATTTTCTTGTATCTCTCTCAAGAAGAACAGTTTGATGTTGAAATGCTTTGTTTTTCCATGAAAAACTGGATTGTTAGAGATTGCAATTGTTGCTTGATTGTCAACAAAAATCTCAACACCACTTTTCTACTCCATATTCAGATCACACATAAGCTTCTTTATCCATAAAACTTGATTAACTGCTGCTGTTGCTGCAATAAACTCAGCTTTTGCAGTAGATTGTGCAACAATCTCTTGCTTCTTTGAGCACCAAGAGAAGAAACCTGAACCAAAACTGAAACAATAGCGAAACCTGAACCAAAACTGAAACAATAGCCTGATGTACTTTTCATGTCATCAACAGAGCCAGCCCAATCACTATCCGAGAATCCACATAGTTTGAAATCATAACTTTTTCCAAACTTGACACCATAACTGATTGTACTTTTAATATACCTTAACACTCTCTTTGCTGCAATTAAATGTAACTCACTAGCACAATGCATAAAGCGGGATAAGAGATTTACAGCAAATAAAATGTCAGATCTGGTGGTAGTAAGGTACATAAGGCATCCAACCAAGCTTCTATAGTAGCCTTCATCAACGTTCTCGGTTCCATCTCCTTTGCTCAGCTTCTCTTTTTGATTCATGGGTGTACCAACAGCTTTGCATTCCTCCATTTGAAATTTCTTCAGAATTTCTTTGGCATATTTCTTCTGACAAATGAATACTTCATTCTGGCTTTGTGTAATTTCCATTCCAAGAAAATAGTTCATGAGACCAAGATCCGTCATTTTGAAAACCTGCTCCATTTCTTGTTTGAATTTTTCAATCAGCAAGGCATTATTTCGAATTTTTCAATCAGCAAGGCATTATTTCCTGTCACCAAGATATCATCAACATAAAGAGAAAAACTATAAGAACATTATTGTCCTTATGTTTATATAAAGAGTTGCCTCTGATAAGACTTTTTTTGAAGCCTAAGCTTTTGGTTAGATAAATCATCTAATCTTGCTGTAGCGCAAGGCCTGGTGCCTGTTTCAAAAACGCATAAAGAAGCCTTTTTGAGCAAGTAGACTTTATCTTCTTAACCTTGCATAATAAAAACCAGCAGGCTGCTCGCTGCTCCACATATATTTCTTCCTGCAGAACACCATTTAAAAATGCAGATTTGACATCTAATTGAAATACTTTCCAACCTTTTTGAGCGGCAATGACTAGAAGCATTCTGATTGTGTCCAATCGAGCCACAGGAGCAAAGGTGTCTGAGTAATCAACACCAAAAATTTGGGCATAACCCTTAACAACAAGTCTAGCCTTGTGTTTATTGATGGAGCTATCTGCATTTAATTTTGTTCTGAACACCCACTTCACTCCTATGATTTTTCTGTCAGCAGGTTTGTCGACTAACTCCCATGTTTTATTTCTTTCGAGATCATCGGACATCATCCTCCTCCATGCTTTTTTTCCCATTTTGGATCTCTAGAGCTTCTCATAGTCTGCCGGCTCATAGACTGACATATTACAACTTTTGTAATTTCAGAGGTGACCTGGTCTCTAATGTGAATCATCAATGTTTTCCTTAGCCTATTTTCTTTCAACTGCTTTTCGGAAGAAGGTTGTCCTTCGTGAGTCTTTATCCCATTGCTCCTCTTCATTGGTAAAGTGAACATCTCTGGTAATAGTATCTTTTTCAGTTTGTGGATGATAGACTTTGCTAGTTGGAGACTAAGCTGGGTAACCACACAAATACAGGCATGGCTTTTTTTGTCTAGGTTTGTACGCTTATTTGTGGAACTGAACAAAACAAGCCTTTCGAACACTTTAAGAAGATTTTCAATGAAGGCTTAATAAACCATACCCAGGCCTTCAAATGTGTTTGAATCCTTCAATGGCCTTGCTTGGAAGTCGTTTTGAGATTTTGAAGAAATACGGCTGTGTTGGCAGCCTCTGCCCAAAAAACTTTAGGCAAATTCTTCTCATGCAATAAACATCTCACCATCTCCATCACATATCTGTTCCTCCTCTCACTGACTCCGTTTTGTTGCGGCGTGTAAGGTGCTGTGAATTGATGTTCAATGCCAGCTTCTTCACACAAGGAATTAAATTGAGAAGAGGTGTATTCCGTCCCATTATCAGACCTTACAGCTTGAATTTTACAGCCACTTTAGTTCTCCACCATATTTTTGAACTTCCAGAAAACTTCAGCCACTTCTGACTTGTATTTCAAGAAGAAAATCCAACACATTCTTGTAAAATCATCAATAAACAGAATAAAGTAGAGGCTACCTTGGAGAGATGGAGTTCTCCAGAACATCTGTATGAATTAATTGTACTTCTGTTTGAAGTTCTCCAGGTTGATTTTGGAAAGGCAATCTGGTTTGTTTACCAAATTGGACAAGCACTCGGCAGTGGGCACTTGTTCAGTAAGCATCGGTCAATGGTCTCTTATAATATCTTTCTTTATTCATCTCCAACATGTGTTGGAAATATGACAATGGCCAAGTCTCTTATGCCAAATCTCGCGGTGATTAGTTTCTGCAGAAAAGGACAGCTTTGCTCCATCCTGCTGTTGGATCGACAAAAAAAAACTCCTTACCTCGTACTTGTACTACAGGAACCCTCTCCCCCTTTTTGCCTCATTTAAATGCACAATATTGATCTTCAATGATTAACTTTGAATCCTTTTTTCAATAAGCTGTTCCCTGCACTCAAACCAATTTTGTCAATTCAGCCACACTTAAGACATCAGAAATTATTTTGTATTACCTTGACGGTTGTCTGTTGAATTGCAATGGTTCTTTTCCCTCCCCCCCCAAAAAGAACATCAGAAATTATTTTTATACCTGACGTTGTTGTAATTGCAATGGTTCCTTTCCCTTTTGTTGGAATATAGACACCATTTCCAATTCTAACTTTAGTGATCTCAGTAGGATTCAATTCCTTAAATAGAGTTATGTCATAACTCATGTGGTTTGTACAGCCACTGTCGATCAACCAACTTTCAGATGTGCACTTGGTGGAAAAACATGTTGCCACAAAAATTTGATCTTCTTCATCCTGATCAACAACTTGGGCATTAGCTTCTTGATTCTTGCTTTTGCAAATTATAGCTTCATGTCCAAGCTGATTGCATTTCTTACTTTGGCATCTGGTCTTCTCCAACATTTGAATGGTGCATGACCTGTTTTGCCACACTGTTTGCAAGGAGGATATTCTTTTGAGCCTCCACCTTTGCCACGATTGTGATTAGCTATGATTTGCTCATCATTTGAACCAGCTTGCTTTCTCTGAAAGTCCTTTTCTTCATGATGTCTGACTGGGAGAGCTCCCTCAACAAAACCATTCTGCCTCATAGATCTCCTCTGTTCCTGAGCCTGAAACGAGTTTAATAACTCTCTCTGCCCAAGGTGATTCGGTAGATAAAGTCCTTGTATGTCTCCAAAGTGGTAATGGATGCTTCAGTATTTTCAGGGAGCAGTAACTAAATGTTTTTGAACAATTCTCGAATCCGTCAAAAGTAGTGCCAAGTAAACCTTACTTATTGACAATATCGAGCAAGCCTTTCAGAAGTATCGTTTGGCTTGTCTCGACTCCTTCAGTTCCTTTGCAAAATTCAAAACTCTCATGTAAATTGAGAGCTTTTCATACCACGAATCTTATCATCACCGGCATACTCCTCCTTCAAATAATCCCAAAACTTGCCTAGCTGTTTTGAGAGACATAATTCTGGTTGAAAATAGTGTTTGAAACAGCGCGAAAACAAACAATTTTGTCGCCTTTATTTTCTGTTTCCTCTCCTTAGAATGGTTTTTGATCGTGGGCCAGGTGGGATGTTGCAGCAGCGCGACAATTCATAATCCTCTTCCACAGCTTCCCAAGATCAAAGAGCATCCAAGTGGGGCTCCATTCTGATTGCCAAATTTCATTTAGTTTTCTCCGCAAAGATGATTGGAGCATTTGGAGAAAAATTCCCTTTCAGATTCCATCACACAAGTCCTTAAGAATAGGGCTCTGATACCAAGTTGAAGGTTTAATAATGAAACACAGAAATAAGACAAAGTTTCTTTATAAACAAAGGCGAATACTTGAAAGTGAAAGAAAAGAAATATTAACTGTAAAGGTGATTTCATTCATAAAGAATTCATTCATAAGAATCCTTTACATTTATAATGATGAACTGAACTGAAAATAGAAATTGACGCAATCACGACGCCACAATAGCAGCAACTGAAGTAGTGCTTGATAGCACGAAAAAAAAAAACTGCAGATTCCTAAAGACTCTACCTAAAACTTTTAGGAAAATAAATAAATAAAAGACACATGACAAGCACGTGAGTTTGAAGTAACAGAAGCAAAAAACTAATACTCCTCCTTGCTTTTGTTACTGCAAACTCCAATTTTCTGTCGTAGAAGCTCAAACTTGTTAACTGGAAGTGGTTTTGTGAACAGGTCTGCTATTTGATCTTTAGTTTTGCAGTAAACCAGAGTTGCTCCTCCATTTTCTTGTATCTCTCTCAAGAAGAACAGTTTGATGTTGAAATGCTTTGTTTTTCCATGAAAAACTGGATTGTTAGAGATTGCAATTGTTGCTTGATTGTCAACAAAAATCTCAACACCACTTTTCTACTCCATATTCAGATCACACATAAGCTTCTTTATCCATAAAACTTGATTAACTGCTGCTGTTGCTGCAATAAACTCAGCTTTTGCAGTAGATTGTGCAACAATCTCTTGCTTCTTTGAGCACCAAGAGAAGAAACCTGAACCAAAACTGAAACAATAGCATTCCAACTCTTACATCCTCAGGAGATAAACCAAAGGAGTGCCACTTGGATGAAAATTCGGAAATGGAAGGGATGCCAATGGATTCAGAGTTTCCTTTGGCTTCTTTTTCATAATCGACTATTGAAGAACACAGAGAGATGGTGATATCATATCACTCATCATATTGAGTGTCCTTGATATGTTACTGCTGTTAAGACTTGCATTCATGCCATGACGGATTGCCTGGTGATTATTGGAATTTGGCATCTTACAGTCCCTAGGGAGATTCAAAATGTTTTTTTAAGGATGGATTTCAATATTTCTGACTCGATTTTCCTAAATCTTAATGTGAGCAATTTGATGTTTAATGATCCCTTGGGCTTTGTCCTTTGGAACAGTATGTTGCTTCCTTTGGAAAGTTCAGAATAAAGTAGTTTTCAAGGATCATGCAACCCAAATCATTTTATTCAACATCAAGCTTATGTCTTTTCGAAGCAATATTTGGAAATCAATAATATCATTTCTATTCTGGGCAGTATTCCGTTGAACCAATGGATAGATGGGCCGTATGGGTTCCTCCAGTGACGGGTTCTTTCAAGTTAAACACTGATGGGTCTCTTCCCAGGATAGCCGGACCTGGGTATTGTGGTGGTCTTGTGCGAGATTCGTTGGGGTGCTGGCAGATTGGCTTCGTTGCCAAAGTTGGAATAACATCAGTTTTGGGTACTGAGTTATGGGCCATATACCATGGTGTTAAGCTTGCGATAGAACATTCGTTTTTTCCCATCCAAGCTGAAAATGATAACACCATGGCTATTCAAATGGTAAGGTAGCATGGAGCCTCCTATGAACTTAAGGCCACTGGTGTTTAATATCAAGAGTCTCATGCAGTCCCTTCCTCAGTTGCGAATTGCTCATATGTGCAGGGAAGCCAACTCATTAGACAATTGCCTCTCCAAAATTGCTGCTCTCGGAAATCAGGATTTTTAAGTGTTCCATAATCCTCGGAAAGAGGTTTCTCCTTTCTTAGATAATGATGTAGCTGGTGTGGTTCACACCAGAGCTTTTTTTAGCTAGTTTTTTTGTTAACCACATTCTTTTATATATATTGGTTAACCACATTCTTTTATATATATATATATATAATTATATATATATATATATATATATATATTATTACACATATTGTATCACATACAAACAACCTGTTGCCTCTTCTTCCAGTTGAAAAGCACATTTCTGAGTCAAAAGCATATATATACACATATTTATCACATACAACACCTTTGCCTTTCTCCAGTTGAAGCACATTTTCTGAGTCAAAGCAATATTATTGCAAGTGCGACTGTATCATAAAATGAGCGAATAATTTCCAAGGCTGCTTAAGAAGCATCCACAAGCAGGCCACAGTGAGCTAGAGGGAAATGAGGGTGATCCAACTCAATCTATTACCACAAGAAGGAAAAAGCCAAAATAGATTTAGATGTATATAAGAAAAATCTTCCTTTAAAATGGAAAAGAAAAAAGGTTAATCAATTAGAAACTAATAATACTTGAAAATATTTACAAACTACTTATAATAAATTAAATAAATATATGCTCATTAGAAGTTTAATAGCTAGTTTTATGTTCTTTTTTTAAATTAATTTTAGAAAAAAAAAAAAGCAAAATATAAAATTAGAAATAGATTTGTTTGTGTTACGTTTTAACGATGCACGCTGTCCTGATGAAAAAATGAGCTTTTTATCCATTAATTTGCAACTTTGCTTGTAAATTGTTAAAAAAAAAAAAATCATTTCCATACTTTTAATTAATTAATTTTGCTCAATTTCAGGGAGCAGCAAGTTAAGTGTTTGAATCCAAATTTCGATTGCCACTCTATTTTGTACTCAATCAAATAATTATAACCAGCGCGAGTATCGTGTGACTTCTTATTTTATTTCATTTTATATTCTACATAGAGTGTAAAAGAAAGCTCAAGCTAGTTGGCATGGCAGCATAGCATCCTAACAGCCAAGAGCATCACGTTCATAGCTGCTCTCTCAATAAATAAACCCTAGCCGCCAACCATTATCATCTTCGCCTCTGTTTCCCTATGCTTTTCAACAAGACCTTAAGCTCTTTCAAAACAATACCCATAACCCAAATCCACCAAATAAAATCCCAACGCAAAAGAAATTCGATTTTCACTTCTTTTGTTCCAATTTCTTCTCTACCATCTCAAATGGAGCCAGGCAATAATGAAATTACCCATGAGTTTCGTTTCTTTAGGGTTTTCAAAAATGGCCAGCTCCAAATGTTTAACCAAATCCACAAAATTCCGCCATTCAATGACCCGGTTTTGCGAGTCCAGACAAAGGACGTTGTAATCTTAACAGAACCAACCATATCTGCTCGCATTTTCATGCCCGTTGTGCATGACACGACTCGGAAACTCCCTCTTCTATTTCACATCCACGGCGGCGGGTTTTGCTTCGAGTCCGCTTTTTCTTCACCTCATCAGAAGTACCTCACCACCTTAGCTGCCGCAGCTGATGCAATCATTGTTTCGGTAGAGTACGGGCTATTCCCGGATCGGCCCATTCCCGCATGTTACGAAGACTCATGGGTGGGCCTCCAATGGGTAGCAACCCATGTAAATAGAGATGGACCGGAGTCTTGGTTGAATGATCATGTAGATTTTGCACGTGTTTTTATTGGTGGAGATAGTGCTGGAGGCAATATATCTCACAACTTGGCAGTTCGGATCGGGTCACAGGGTTTACCGGGAGTAAATGTGGTTGGGATGGTGTTGGTGCATCCGTATTTTGGTGGAACCAATGATGATAAGATGTGGTTATATATGTGCCCAATCAATGGTGGGTTGGATGATCCTAGGCTGAAACCGAATGCAGAAGATTTGAGCAAGGTTGGGTGTGAGAGAGTTTTGGTGTTTGTTGCAGAGAAAGACCATTTGAATGGAGTGGGCAAGTGGTATTGTGACGAATTGAAGAAAAGTGAGTGGAAAGGAAGCTTAGGCGTTGCGGAGACTAAAGATGAGGGACATTGCTTCCATATTGAGGACTTGACAACTCAAAATTCTTTGGCTCTAATAGAAAGATTTGCATCTTTTATTAAGGAAATTTAGAGATGCATAGCATAGGTAATTATTGTAGAGTTATTGAGTGAACTCCATGATGTAATAAATAGTATATTTAATACTCAGAAAATGTGAGAATCATTGATTTTGAGAAAAAAATTATTGTCAGAGGAATGCATGTGATAAGTTTTAATTCAACTTGGATTTCAATTAATTAAGAAAAAATAAGGTTGAATTAGCCCTCAAAAAAAAAAAAAAAAAAGATTTCAATGAAATTAAGAAAAATAAGTGTTGAATTGAGGCGCCTTCAAGAAAAAAAAAAAATTAAAGGTGCACTTTTTTTAAAAAGCTAATTTTATTTCAGAGATTTCATTGCTTATTGAATTTATATCGTTTTTATTTTATATTGCGCTATGTTTGTTATTAAGTAATAATTAGTTTATTTTATTACTCAAAAAAAAAAAAAAAAAGTGCACTTTTTTAAAAAGCTAATTTTATTTCAGAGATCATCTATTGAATTTAAGCGTTTTTATTATTTGCGCTAGTTTTTATGAGTAAAAATAGTTTATTTTTATTATTATAATGAAAGAAATCTTGAATTGTTGTTTCTTGGATCATCAACAAATTCAGCAAACATGGAAATACCGAAATAAGTTAGATGCAATTGACATATTCAGAATTTGTTTTTTTTCTTTAAAAAAAAAAAGGCTCAATAAATATAAAAAATCTAAACTCTCTACCTTTTGTTTAGTTTTGGCTTAATGATTAAAACAAATTCTAATTGTTTGCCTTTGGTTCAATTTTGATCGATTCTTTTAATTTCGTTAATGTATCATAGACTAATTATTTCATATCAATTATAGCCTCCGTCTCCTTTTCATCTCAAAGTTGTTGAAATGGCTGAGTTAAAGAAAAAAATAATTGGCCAAAATTGAAAAAATAAATGAAATTTTAAACCTTTTTTACTTAGCCAAAATATATAAGTTTTGTAATATAATAGAACCACACCCATTAATATACTTATTTAGATTTATTTAATTTTCTCAACTTGATGTTTTTGTTCCCCTACAAAAGACATGTTGACAATCTGGGTACTATGATCAAATTGATCAAATTAATCAAATTCAATTATGTATTTAATATTAGATTTATAATGAATTAGACTTATCTTTAATACAAAATAGCATAAGCCATTTTAATTAGCTCACCCTTCTCATTATATATCATTTATTTAGCTTATATTTATCCGGTGTGAGTTACTCACATACTTCAATAATACATGTCTTTTATTGATGAAATTTACTGATAGAAATATTATGTAAAAAATATCGACTGAATAGCGATTCATTTAGGACTCAATTTACCCACAGACAGGACTTTGTCGCCGAAAGTATGTAGTTAATCAATCACCAATAAAAATTGACAATTTGTGGCACCAATTGTATGAAATGTAGCGCCAATCATTTTTCTGATAGAAAATATTTGGTTGAAAATACTTTCTAATAGATTGTGGCTAGAATATCATCTAATTACTCGTTGTATGTGATTTTCAAATTAAGGAGTTTACCGACAGAAATTAGTAATTCAGTTGGAAATCATTATCGATGTCCTTCCAACATAATATTAACAAATTATTATTTGCGAATGATGTCTTTTACCGATGGAAGTCATGAAATTACTGACTTGAGAGCTATAACTTTTAGAGCATAAAAATACCCAAATCTTCTTCCTCTTCTTCTTCTTCTTCGCGTTATTCTTTCCTTTTTTTTTTTTTTTCCCATTCTCCTTTTGTCTATATTCTTTATGTCTGCTTCCATCCTTTGCCACCACCAAAAAATTGTTAAGTTAAAATAATATGGTCAATGGGTTTGCTAAAATTGAATATCTGGAATTTTGCGAAGGTTGTGTTTTGGGAAAACAAAGTAGGAAATCCTTTCCAGTAGAACAATCTTGGAGGGCTGCTAGTTATCTAGAATAGGTGCATGCTGATTTATATGGACCCATGCATAATGAATCGTTTGGGAAGCCGGTATTTTTTTGAGATCTAAATCTGAAGCTCTTGTTAATTTTAAGATATTAAGGCATTGGTAAAAAATCGAATTGGCAGTCGTATCAAGTGCCTTCGAACTGACAGAGTTAGTGAGTTTATTTCTATTGAATTTAATGTGTTCCATGAAAAATGTGGCATTTGTAGGGAGCTTACTGCACCACATACACTACAACAGAATGGTACTGTTGAATGGAAGAATTAGGCTGTGGCGGAAATGGCTAAAAGCTTACTAAAAGTCGGGCCTTTCGAGTTCTTTTTGGGCTAGAGTAGTTACAATAGCAAGGTATCTTTTGAATATCTCTCCAAGAAGCATTGTTATGCATAAAACGCCACAGTACTAAAACGACGTGTTAGTCACTTCAAAATTCATGGTTATACATCATATGCTTTAGTTAACTTCATCATAAAATTGATAAGAAATCTGAGAAATGCATTTTTATTGACTATAGCCCTTAATCAAAAGCATATAGCTACACAATCCTTTAAGTGCAAAATTATCATTAGTAGAAAAGTGGTGTTTCTTGAAGATGCATAATGGTATTGGGAAGATGCTCAAAAAAATGGCCAAGCTCTAGTATTAGAAGATATGATTATTGATTCATTATCTCTAAATTCAGCAAATTCCTCTCCTATAGCTAGCAACTCTTCTAGTCCAACAAACAACTCTTTAAGTCTAATAAAGCTTTAGTACCTCATCATCTGATGAAACTCCTCTATGGAAATTCAGTCCTTTAATGAAATTTATGAATCTTGTTCTTTTACTTTGTGTTCTTCATATCCAATGTTTTACTACAAAGCAACAAAAAATAATGAAAGAGTGGCAGAATGCTGTGGATGAAGAGATGGTTGCAATCTAGAAAAGTCAGACCTGGAAATTGGTAGCTGTGCCTGAAGGAAAGAAAGCAATTGGGTTTAAATGGGTATTTAGAAATAAGTAGCTAGCCGGTGGAAGCATATAAAAGCATAAGGCCCGACTTGTATCATAGGGGTATACTCGACAACAAGGCATTAATTTTAAGAAAACATTCTCACTAGGTGCCCGCTTTGAAATAGTAAGGGTATTGCTTACTTTAGCTGCTCAATTATCTCTTCCTTTTCTTCAATTTGATGTAAAATATGCTCTCTTGAATGGAGATTTGGAAGAGGAGGTTTATGTTTCTCAACCATAAAGTTATGTTGTAAATGGCCATGAGGTTAAAGTCTTCAAGTTAAGAAAAGCTCTTTATGGCGCAACCTCCGGAGCATGGTATAACAAAATTCACAGCTATTTTCATGAGAATGGATTTGAAAGAAGTAGAATGAGCCCACTTTATTTTTAAAGAACAAAGGAAAAGCTAAGTTTCTTGTCATTTGTCTTTACCTTGATGATATGATTTATTTTGGGTCTAATGAATTTATTTTTGATAACTTCAAGTCCTTAATAATGAAGAGATTTGAAATGGCAGATTTGGGTTTGTTGCAATACTTTTTTAGGCTTGAGGTGAATTAATGTGCAGATGGTATTTTTATTTCGCAACAAAGTATGCAACTGATTTGCTCAACAAGTTCAACATGCAGAATTGCAACAAGGCTTCAACACCAATGAATTCAAATGAGAAATTGCAATTCAAAGGTGGCATAAAGATTACTGATGCGACCTATTGTGGAAACTTGATTGATTGACTGAATTATTTGATACACACTAGACCTGACCTTGCATTTTTAGTTAGTGTCTTATCCAGGTTCATGCATAGCCCAATAAAGCATCACCTTAGAAGAGTTAAAAGGATCCTGAGATACGTTATTGGAACTACCTATTTTAGTTTTTGGTACTCTAAAGTATCAGATTTCAAATTATTTGTATACACTGACAATGATTGGGCAGGCCCCTTGGATAATGAAAAAGTACATTAGGCTATAGCTTTAGCTAGATTCAGGTGTCGTCTCATGGACTTCAAAGAAGCAAGAGGCAGAATATATTTCTGCCACTTTCATAGCCTATTAAGCTATGTGGCTACGAATAATTCTACCAGCCAACAAGAATTTGCAGCAACTCAAGTTTTTTGTGACAACAAAGCTACCGTATTAATGACAAAGAATCCAATATCTCACAGCAGAAAAAAGCACATAGAAACTTGCCATCATTTTATATTTAAGATTGGTACCAGGTGGAGAAATAATGTTTGAGTTTTGTGGTACAAATGACCATGTTGCTGACTTATTACCAAGTCTTTGTCTCAATTCAAACATAATTACTTTCGATAAGACTTAGGTGTGTAGTTTTGAATCGAGGGGGTGTGTTAAAACTGATTCAAAATAGTTAACTAAGTGGGTCAAGTTTCTTCGTATTAGTGGTCAATAAAATATCTAATCCATTTAGCATAATTTTCGTTTTTTAGTTTTTTGTCAATTGCTATGTATAACCTATAAAAGGCTTTGTTTCTTACAGCCTGTTTGGATTGGGGTGTAGAAGAGATAAATAAGGTAAGAAGTGGTAAGCAATGTAAATATCCATGTTTGAAAAGAAGTGAGTCAAAAAGAGGAGTAAGGATAAATAAGGATAAATCTTACCTTCTTTTCTCCTAAAATCTCAATTTTTCTTATATCTCAAACTGGGGCATAAAGAGAGAGATATAAAATTTAAATTAATTTATAACTTAAAATAAGTTTTATCTCCCATCCTTCACCTCTTCCCAAATATAAAAAATATACATTACCGCTCCTTACTTTTAAATTAATATACCTCTTTCCAAACACTACACTTTTATTATTGTAACCCTCCTTTAACCTCCCTCACCTTCTATTAATTACCTTCCCCCACCCCATCCAAACAAAGTGTTAATTTAACGGCTACATCAGCAACATTTTGGATGGTAGACTAAACGATGCCATAGTTTTTTTAAAAAATAAATAAATTGACATTATCAATTGAAAAAATTAAAAAAGTTAGCTCAAATTTTGAAAACGCTCAAAAGTTTCATGATTTATTTAATCATTTAGCTTTAAAATAAATATGTACTTCACATGGAGTGGTTGCCCAATGGAGGAGTGAAGACAATATTTGATCCAAGATCATTAACAAGGGTGTTTAATGAACGAAAAGGAAGCAGAATGTGGTTCAACACAATGGTCGGAATGCATGGGAAGGAGCTAAGTTCAGCCTTAATAGAGATGGAACTGAAATATCTAAAAAGTTTGTGAACAGATGTGAGCTAATTATTAAAGAAGTGGGATGCAAATGATGTCCTTTTTCTTGATAATTTGGCTTTACTTGATGGAAGGAGGCCTTCTTTGCCTCCAAGAAAATTGCTTTTTGCCGCTTGCAAGTAGCTTTATATATATATATATATAGTGACGAAGGAAGAGGGGCCATCCCTGACTTTTATTTTTTATTTATTTATTTTAGAATAAATCAAACTAAAAATTTTATTAAATAGAAACTGTATTCAGATATGGGATTCAGATCAATAGGTTTCTCTATTTTTGTATAGATAGTCTAATAATAAACCAATTATACAAAGAATAAAAAAATATAGTTTCGATTTGAAGTATCTGATCAAGTTAACAGCGCATAATATTTATTTCATAGGGAATCGCTTACTCTACTTAGTAGCGATTTATGGCCACTGTTCACCTTTATGGTCTTTTTATAAATCCGATCTGACTACTTTCAAATTTCTTTCTTCTATTTAAGAGGAGATCTGCTCTTTTTTTTTGCATAATTATCCAAATAATAAAAGGCGCCAGATAAAATCATTATAACGGTAATAACAATAACTCAGAACTAGATCTGAGAACAAAATCTCAATATATTATGAACAATAAAAATGACTCAGAATTAGATCTGAGAACAAAATCCTAATATATAAGGAATAATAAATCTCAATGTTTGAGCGAAAATAACTCAGATGTATATACAAATCTGAAAATTAGTTTTGCAAAAAAATAAATAAAAAAAAAATGGATGACCACCGGTCCCTTGACGAAGAAAAGAGGATTTTTATAAAAACTTAGCTGCATTAAACTCTGATTATTTAAGTTAAAGATTTGAGTTTGATTCGAAATTACAATAACAAGACTTCTTCTTGCTATTTAATTTTAGTTTTTTTTTTTTTTAATTTTAGGTAGGTTTGATTTTGATTTTAATTTTGGGTTTGATTTCCTTTAGAATTCTGAATTCATTGGATAAATATATGATATCTAATTTATTCAAAGAGATGGATATTATATGATAACTCATAATTCTATTTTAATATTTTTTAAAATAATATGAAATTAAATTGGTCAAACTTTAAATTTATACAATGTTGATTTTTTTTTCTTTTTATTATAAATGAGAATATATGATATATTGTCATAATTTCATTTGCTTGATTAAATTTATGATCATTTAGCAAATATTTAAAAATTAAAGAAATGGTTCTTTTAATAATAATTTAAATAAAATTATCGAACAAATTCTATATACAATTAAAATTATTTTTAAAAACTGTGATAAATTATCACTTCATGTAGTTTTATAACATACTCTATGTTTTCATAATACTGCGTCAATATCAATATCAAATTGTATATATATTTTCCATATTTAAATCATTCGTTTTGAGTTTTGAATTTTAAAATACAAATTACAAATACTCCAAATATAATAAAAATAAAAGACATGAACTAACTCACATGACAACTTAAAGACATTACTTTTGCATGATGTAAAATATAAAATATATGTTTGTCCCTCCAAGAAGAAATTATAGTTGTCACAATATACATAAAATAGAGCTAACCGGCAATTTCACCTTGAGCTTTTTGAATAGTTGCAATTGCACTCTAAATCAACCTTTGTATCCTATGCACTCTAAATTTATTAATTAGTTGCAATTATACCCCAATTTTACTTTTAGAGTGAAATTACACCCTAAAAGTGAATTAGAACACCATAAATTTATCAATTTGTTGCAATTTCATCCTAAAAACAAATTAAGGTTAGAATTCTGATTAAAATGATATAAAAATGGACTTCATAACCAATCCAAACTTAGTTAAATGTAAAATGTAACATTCGAATTAAAAGAAAGAATTAATTATTTTGTCTCTTTTATCCTTCAGCTTATTATCTTTCTCCTCTTACAGGAAGCTAAATGATGGCTACTGATAGTGGCAAATGAAATCACCATAATTGTTTTGTCAACCTTGAATTAATATCCAATTCATTATTTTTGCAGCTTAAAATTGGTTCAATTTTAAAATTAAAGACACAATCTTTATTTTTTATATTTATTATATGAATAATTGGGTTTTTGATTTTATTATTTGTTGTTTAAATACTTGGATGCTTATGGAGTCCAGTGTTTTATATTATTATAATCAAAACTTCAATCTTAATTTGCTTTTACGGTACAATTACAACAAATTGATAAGTTCAAGGTGTTGCATTTCACTTTTAGGATAAATTCACCCTAAAAATAAATTAGAGTATAATTTATAGTTCAGAGTGTTCAGAATATAAAAATAAATTTAGAATGAATTGTAAATATTCGACAAGTTGACGTGGAATTGAAGGTTAGACTTAACTATACACATATACAGATATGTGCGTGTTTGTTTGGGCAACAGAATAAATACTACCAATCCATGTACTCATTTCTTCCAGTTAAAAAGAATAAAATATGGAAGTAAAAGATATAGATTGACTACCCTTAATTTGTATTTGCATTTGGGTCTCGATAAATGCATCCTTCATCCTTCAAATGTAAATTAACTATAAATAGACAGAGAGTGTGTGTGTGTTTTGGAAATATAGTCTCGAAGAAAAAACTCAAGTTGATTGCATTATGGCAACTCTGACTTGTTGCACGTGGCAGGCAGCATCAATTTTTTGACCATCGGAATATCATGTAAAAGAAGAGGACGTTTGCGTATGGGAAAATTTGTCTTCTCAGGGCTCTGCAACTCCTTACTATGAGCTCATGACCGTTATGGATAGTATGATACTTCATTTCAATATTTTATTTTCTTGGGTTTTCAATTGTTAGGTTGTTGTGAAGAGGGCACATGAACACATGTCTTGGAATATTGTTTTTTTATTAAACATGTCTTGGAATAACTAATTATCATACCAGTTGAAATTTTTTTTTTTTTATTTCTAAAAATTAACTGGGTGATCCTTAAATATAATTTTATATTTAAAAATTACTCTTCCATTGGTGTTTCTTTCTATTCCGCCTCCATATTTTCTTTTTCTAGTTAGAAAAATTAACAAATTAATAAAATAATTATATAATTGGAAAGTCATAAAATATAGGAATTATTAAAATTAATTTTTTAAAATAAAAATCTTTGCTGACTAAATAATTCGAATTGGACTTTAGTCTATGAGTCCACCAATAGATTAAACTAGTAAAAATAAAAACATTTTAAATATTTTCTTTTACTTTATTGTTTTTGTCCTAGTAAAAGGTGAGAAACACATTACTTTATTGTTTTTTCCTAGTAAAAGGTTAGAAACACAGTTGTTTCAACAAAAATTTATTTTTTATTAATTTAATCGGTAAATAGTTGAGCTAGTTTAGGCAAGTCAATTCTAAATGATTCATATAAATTGATAAGAATAGCATCTTAAGACTATAGTTGCAAAATACAATTATTTATTTGAAAGATAAGAACAACTTGTGCAATAACTCATTGAACAAGAAATTCTGATGAACCTCAAAAAAAGTGCACAAGAACAAGTTGTTGCAATTACTAGTTTTTATTAATTATTATAAATTCAAGTGGACATATTATGGAGTAATTTAATTATTAGACTGATGTAAAATTGAAGTTGGCGCAGGTTGTCCGCCAAAAGGGTAAAGGGCCGCTGAAACCAAGCGTCTTGGAACCAAAATCAAACTGTAAAAGATTTTCTTCCAACTGATGCCCACCAATAACAATGGAGGTCTCTGCATCTGCTCCACCATCAACAAATGCCAGACACAACGCATTGTCGTTTATATTCACCATTGAGTTTGTACCCCAAATTCTCCATACAGTACCATTATTTTGCAAAACAAGATCAATGGTCGGCACAGCTGGTCCAACCCGAGTCACACCAATATGCTTTGCACTAAAGCAAACCCCAAATGGTGCTACTGCTTTAACTCTAGGCACCTTACTTAAGGCCTTCACAAAAGCTTTAGTAACAGCTTTGTAAATGGAAGTCTCTAACACTGTGTAAGGATTAACGGTGCTGATCTTAGTTCCACCTTTCCCTTCTTCAGTGATGGACAACAATTTCTTGTTAATCTTAACCTGTTTTTCGTTAATCTCGATGGATTTAACTCTAATGAAATATTCAACAGACGCATCGCCAGCGAAATAAGCCCCTGAAGTGCTAACAGGATTGATGAGAAGTGGAGTGTAAGACAGGATTTTTGAAGAATCAATTCCTGGGAGCATCACATAAGGTCCGTCACCAAAAAAGATAACCCCCTCAGCTTGCGGTGAAGAACTTAAACACATAGCGAATTTCTTTTGTAACCTGAAAGCAGAAGACAACTGAAAAGGAAGTGAAATGTTATTTATTCCAAAACCTGCTATTCCCTTAACTCCATTGGCTAGACTTTCTAAACTTGAGGTATAACCACAAGTGAAAGCAAGATTAGGTACTGATACTAATTTTCCAGGATTCCTTCCATCAGTGGATTCTAGAGACAGAATATCTTGACCAATTTGACCGCTGCTGCTAACGCGACTCACTGGGTTATAGAAGAGTTGGTCACAGGTGTTATTATGGCAACCTGGTTTTGGAGCTGAATAACATTCAGAAGTACAGGAATGTGAATTAGCTAAAGTGCAGAGCTTGGAATCACATGATACAGGCTTATATGAGGAAGAGATATAATCTTCACAATCGACCCAGAGGAATTTACCTCCAAGATCAACAGTCACTTTTAAGGGCACAAAAGGGGTCCTTTGTTTTATGTGAGTTAAATATTGGCTTGTTGATGAGTCTTTCGTGACTCGAAGGAGAAGACCTTTAGGGCGAAATGGTGTTTTAGCTAATGAAGGAGAAATGAAGAAGAGAAGAGAACACAGGAGGAGAAAGGAAAGAAATGAGGAAGCCATCGATCGACTGATTTAGAGAGGAAGGTTTGTACGAAGAAATAGTGGAAGTGGAAAGCTTATTTATAACTGCTCGCATCTCTGGACTGGGTAAGACTTACCTAACCATGGGCCAGCACATTGTTACTATTTCCTTTTTGTTGTTTTGTATATTACCCCTAGCATGAGAATTCTCTTTTCTCTCAAACTTTATTTTATTTTATTTTATTTTACAGAACCATGGGCCAGCACATTTTTTTCTCCAAGAGTACCACGTCCATTTAAGAATTCACATAATTTAATTATTATTAAAATAATAATAATAATAATAATAATTGTATTTTAATATTCAGAAAAGTATAAAAGGACCTCATGGTTTCAACTTTTTTTTTTTTTTTTTTTTTTTTTTTTTTTCACATAATTTAAATTATTTATAAAATAATAATAAGAAAATAATAAATTGTATTTTAATTATCAAGAAAAGTATAAAAGGACCGCATGTTTCAACTTTTTTTTTTTTTTTTTTTTTTTTTTTTTGTGTTACTTTCATTTTCCTCTTCCTTGTCATTTTATGTTTATGGACAAAGCCTCATCTGTGTTTTCTAAATAAAAGTGTAAGATTGCTGTCATCTTGTTAACTAATAACCTTAGTTCATTACCAAATGTGCACATGGTATTATAGATTAGATCTTCTATCAATTATATATTAGGAATGGACAAAACTTGTTTAAAACAAATTTATGAGCTCATCCATGCATTAAATTAATCACAATAGAAATTATTTAAAAATTATTATCATTTTACTTTTTTTAATGAAAGGTTATTTATTTATAAACAGAAAATTTTTACTCCTTTTGTCCCAAAATATAAGTCGTTTTTGGATGATTATTTTGTATCAAAATATATATCGTTTTGAATATTTTAAAGATTAATAAATGATAATTTTTCAATATTATCCTTATTTAGATTAGTTACAATAAATACTCATAATTAACTATTGATTTTGAGATAAAGGATAATTTGGTCAAATTACTCTTGAGTTTATTATAATCTAGAAAAATTAATAGTTTTCTTAATCTTTGGACTTATATTTTGGGACAGATTGAATTTTTTTTTTTTTTTAAATGAAAGGTGACAAAGTATTTATTTATATACACGACATTTTTTATTAGTTAAGTACATGCACGAGCCTGTGCATCGAATTTATGTCAGGCATTCTCGTTAAGAATAAAGGAAAATGATAAAGGATAAAGTGACTAATTAGCATTTCAATAAAAAAAAATGAAAATGATTGGATCTAAAGTTGAAAACAAATGTATGAGTTGGACTTCTTAATTTCCCATGATAACTAGTGACCGTCACTGGTAATTATCAATGCTGTTTATTTGATCAAATATTCAGAAATGATTGCAATTAAAATACAAAATAATAATTAATGGTATTAATTAGCATCTCAAAAGAAAATTTTCAAATCAACAGCTGATTAATATTCTTATTAGACAAATTTAGCTTAATTTTGGAATAAAATCAATTATAAACTATATGAAACATTTTGTTAGTTTTATTTTATACTAGTGTTAGAACTCACTCAATGCGCGGAGTAATATTAAAGGATGAAATAGTTTTTTATAACATCATTCAAAAATAACAAAATTGTATAATAAAATGATCGTGAAATGCATTACAAAATTGTACGTAAGATATGCTAAAAAAAATTGCAATGCTAAAATGTTTCTTAAATATCCTGCGAAGCCTTTTACTAAGGTATAGCAAAAGTCATGCATGGTATGACCTAGACGTGTCAAAATGGGTTGGCGTGTCAGGTTCAATATGGATTCGCCTAGCACGCAACACGATTAGGGTTAACATTAACACGATCAATTTAATAATAGTGTTAAATTTATCGACACGAAAATTAGACAGGTAACACGAGCATGACAGGTTAAGTGGGTCTGTATAACCCGCTTAATATCATAAACAGGTTAAGTGGGTCGTGTTGACCTGTATACTACCCACTTAACCGCTTATAATATTTTAAATTTTAACATATTTAACTTTAATCATATTTAAAAATAAATTTTCATATACAAAATGCATAAATTTTTCAAGATTCAAAACTAGAATAAAAAAACTAATACAACAATAAAAGTCAAATAAGTTTTAGTTAGAATATTTATATCTAATGTGGGTCCTGTATATGTATGGCATAATCCAAAAGAGTGGGTGAATTGGGTATTAAAAAAAATTAATAAATATAACTTTCAAAAACAAAATCAGAATTTTGTTGCAAAACGATTGTGCGAGTGAGTTATTAAGATTAGAATTTTCTCACAAAGCTTAATGTAAGATTAGAAAGACTTTGTAATCAGCAGCTATTGATTAGAACTGTTTCACAAATCTTAACCAATTTCAAAAACACTTTATAAAGTAAAGTTATTACATTTAGAACTTTTTCATAAAGCTTAGTCAATAATGTTAGAACCATCTCTTTTCATACCCCACTAGAAGAATTCATAACCCGTTGAAGTTCATAACAAATAGAAACAGGAATTTGAAAGATGCCTTGTAGCATAAGTTGGAATAGCTTGAACAACTGATTTGAGAAGAATCTTCTTACCTGCCTGAAATAAAAATTTATTATTTCAATAATTTTACTATTGTTTATTTTATTCACCGTAAATACATAAAGTGTATGAGTACTTGTAGGCAATCCTAGTAGTTTTTTTCTTAAAAATTTTGTTTGACCAAATTTTTTTACTTAAATTGTTGAAATTAAGTTAGGTGTATATGGATAACCTATTGGATAGTGCTTGCATAATTTAAAATTTTCTTAGACATTATAATTATAGTAATAAAATTAAATTTTGTTTGACCGATAAAGGAAAGAGATAATAAAAAATTTTAACTTTAATGTTCTTCCTTGTTTTTTAAATAAAAGTTTAAGATGGTTGTTGTGTTGCTAATTAATAAGGTGAGCTAGATTAGATCTGGTATGAAAAAGCTAGATATTAAGAATTAAAAAATACATATATAAATATAATCACATGCCAAAATGCAATATAAAATGCACCAAGATTCCAGCTGCACTTGCAATTGTTGTTTGTTTGGGTTACATAAATTCAGGCTTTTAAGGTTGTAAAGTTGCAACTTGCCAATTCAAATTCTAATAAAGAAGGAGAAAGCAGAAAGTATAATGAAATGATGAGGAAGGAAGACACGGTTAGGTCGATTTAGGAAACAAGTTTTGTATGGAGAAATAGTGAAAGTGGAAAGCTTATTTTTTGTAACTTGCTGCATCTCTGGATCAAGTTTCATGAGTATTTCATCTTTCATGTTATGCTTCATTTGCTTCCGTAAAATAATTTACGGGAAAATAATTTGCTGAAAAATATTTTCCATAAAAAATATTTTCTAAATGACTTATTTTTTGTTATTTAGTTGTAATATTGTAAATTAGTTAAAAATATTAAAATTTTTATCTCATAAGGCAACAAAAATATTAATAATAATAGAAATTTTATAATTTAAAAATTTTATTGTTAAATATGAGAAAAATGCAAAAAAAAAAAAATGTAAGTTATGAAAACGCTTTTATCTCATATAGGCAACAAAAATTTAATAATACTCGAAAATTTTATAATTTTAAAATAAAAAAATTTTTTTATTATTTGTTTTTTTTTTTTTAAACTTTAAATATACTCTGATTATATGTATTAAAAAAAATATTAAATATTATTTGTTGCTTAAAAATAGCAAAATGTAGTTATGAAAACAGTCCATCCATAAATATGAGAAAAATGCAAAAAAAAAAAATGTAAGTTATGAAAACGCCACCGGTGGTTGATGGTGCCTATCCGTGGCTTGTGGTGGTGGTCAATGGTAAATGATGAATGGTAGCAATGACTACGATGATTAATAAATTAAAAAATATAGATTTATAAGTTTTATCAATATTCGGAAAACGTTTTACTCTCTCTCGAAAATAGGAAGTTATTTTCTTTAAAAAATGACCTAATTTTCTTTTGACCACAAATATTTTCCGTTGACCTATTTTCCTAAGCGCCCCCAAACAACAGAAAATTGTAGAAAATATTTTTCTGCAAGTTATTTTATGGAAACAACCAGAGCCTTTGTTTTTTAGTTTTATTTATTTATTTTTATATAGTAATATTTATTTATTATTTATAATTTATATATAATTTATACTATATATAAATGTGGGACTATGGAGGAGGGATTTTCGATAGTATCTTTAGTGAAATTTGAAATATCCTAATATAAATTTAAACATGACCAATTAAAAAATTTATTTCAAAAATATTTATGATATTTAACTTTAATATTTTAATTGTTATTTTAATATATATATAAAATAGAAATTTTGAAGGAGATGTTGGTTTTTCTTTTTTTTTTTTTTTTTTGTTTTTCTTTTTTTTTTTTTTTTTTTGGTAATAGGAATCATGGGAACCTATATAAAAAAAAAAATTCAAGTAGATATTCAATTAAGTTTGTTAAATGTGTAGACGCTTAAATTTTGCCTCTAAAAGATTCAGTGATGATATACTATTTTTTCCATAAAATTGGATCGACGTTTCCGATCGCCCTGGTTTTTGGATTGATAATCCGTAACTAAGATTACCGATGTGTTTAACCATTTTTACTTTTTCTGGTTACCGGTCGTTTCACTGCGAAATTGGACCTGTGAAATGCGTCGAAGCCGTCTGACACATTTTTCGGTAAACTACCAGTGGTTTCATTGCAACAAAAGTAGGATCGGTCTCGTTGCGGGCCCGACAATGGCATTTTTACTACATCAGCCCTAAATGGCGCCACCCCACCCTCAAATATCTATAAAGAGGCTTTGGGGGATAAGCTTTAAGAGAGAATTTTTGGAAAACTAAGGGAGACTCTTGCATTTTTAAATTTTAAAAACTCAACTCAAACATAATTAAGGCACGAGTGTTAACGATACTTGGATTTAAAGTTTTGGATCTACATTTAATCAATAATAAAAAAACTTGTGATAATCTGAAATCCTAAACACCGCACAAACTTTTATATTTT